AATTGTCTAAAAACAAAGAAAAAAAAATATTAATATGTTCTTCATGAAAAACATGATTCTTGCTCAGGAGGTTTAAGAAGTAAAACATTTTCGGATGTCCTTTACACACTAACATATTGGGCTTAGGGGGTTTTGGCTAAGTTTCCCTTTATATTTGGGGCTCAACTTGTCTCCAGTCCACTTTGTAAATTGGACCTTATTTTTTGAGTCATGGGGCCTACCATAAGTCCTATTTTAATGATTCAAACCGTTCATTTTTAGACCATAACGTATAGATCATCTATGAAAAAAATCAAATCGATCTGATAACCATAACCATGCTATTTCATGACATTTATCTCCTTCATACCTTCATTTCACCGTACCTATCCATATTCCTATTGTGGGCTCTAATTTGGATCCATCGATGATCCAAAATTGTTAACCTCATAGGTCACACAATAAAGGTTGTTCATACAAAAAAAAAAATCTATTTCATAATACATTTGTAAATATAGGAACAAATTTTTTATTTATTTATAAAATGAATAACAAATATAATTATAAAATTACCTATCTATTTTATAAAATAAAATACGATTTGTTCTCGCGTTTGTAATTGTTCGATAAAGTTGATTTTTTATATAAATCATCTGAATTGTGAGACTTACGAAGTAGACAATTCAGATCATTTATATATATTCTGTTTGTATCTCACAAACATATTATTAAGAGCATCTCCAACCATGCTCTATATCTTCAAATTTGAAGCATTCTCCCTCTCTTTTCAACTCCAACCCATCCTCTATATCTTTCTCTATTTGGGAGGATGGATGTTTCATTATTCAAATATAGAGAGAGTATGAAAAATGAAGGATGATCTCTATAACACTATTCATATTTTTTAAATACCAATTTTTTCCTTAAGCCCTTTTTGCTTTTAAATTTATATACCAATTATATCATTTTGTATTTTTTATTATATATTATAAAATAAAAATAACTTTTAATATGTGCATCTAAATTTTATAAATTTAGTATCATTAAAAATATTAAAATTATATCTTTAAAATGAGTCTAATATTCAATATATTTAACAAAAATTTAAAAATTAAAAATTATTAATGTTGCAAAATTTATTAGCTCATGTACAATCCGAATTAATTTTCTATAAAATAATAGATGGTAAGGAAAATAGATGGAGAGAAAATTAATGGAGTGAAAATTGATGGTTAATTTTGAAGGGAAATATTTAGAAAAGAAAATAAAATTTTGTAGTTAAAGCTTGAATGAATAGTCATATACTCTGTGTTTACTTTTTGAATAAAAAAATTATTTTCATGATTGAATTGGAGATGCTTTAAAAGATGCGAAGAGATAAAGTATAAAAAAAAATGTATTCCATTGAAAATATAAAAAATAATAAAATATTATCGTGAAAATGCTTGTAAGATGGTACGAGAAATTAAAAGAGGCCACTTGTAAGATGTGTTGTCAACATGATTGAGAGTTTTCACAAACGTTAATCATTCATATGCATGAGAAATTGAAGAATCAACAAACCTCCATAATGTAGGAGCATTAATCGACACAAAATCATTATCACCTGTGGATCCCACGTACGTGCTCTCAGAAACTGGGTCCCCCAATCACCAATGTCAATCTTAATAATCAGCAATTGCAGCTCCATCACTCAGCACCATGCTGATCCTGTGACAAATATTTTATTTATTGCATTTAGCACCCTGTTTGGTTTATGTTACTAATTAAAATACAGAATTCAAAAACATTGTCTCATTCTTTTAAGGGCAAATTACACTACCAGTCCTATAGTTTAGGACTCGTGTCACTTTAGTTCATGACTTTCAATTGTGATACATTTGATTCTAAATTTTGAATCTTATTTCAAATAAGGACAATTGAAGATACCATTGCTTAATTTGAAGGGCAAAATCATCAATTTGATAAAATATAAATTAATTTGACAAAATAAATGTCAAAAAAATATTTTAAAATTTTTTAAAATTATTTCTACCCACCAAAGATAAAATTATGTAAAATTGATAAAAATTACATGTTTAATTTTTAAAAATTAATTTTACATGATTATCATCAAAACACATAACAAAAATTAACTTGGTAAAATAAATAAATAAATGTATAAATGATTTATCGATTTTATATAATTTTATCTTTAGTGGATAGAAATAATTTTTAAAAATTTAAAAATATTTTTTTGGAAATTTATTTTTGTCAAATTAGTTTATATTTTATTAAATTGACTATTTTGCCCTTGAAAAATCCAATGGTATTTTTAATTGTCTTTATTTGGAACAAGATTCAAAATTCAGGGTCAAATGCGTCACAATTGAAAAGTCAGGGACCGAAGTGACACAAACCCTAAACTATAGGGACCGTTAGTATAATTCACCCTTTTTTAATAATTACTTTTCTTTAGTTTATTTAATTTTTAGGGAATTTATTAAAAAAATAAATAAATATATGTATCTCAGATATTTTTTATTTTAGTAAATCTTATTATTTTAGATATTTAATCTACTAAATCTTAATTTTTTATATTTAAGATATTTTTTAAATATTTTTTGAACCATTAGCAACTTGGTAATATGAACATTCACATTAAATAAATTTGACAATGTAAACATTAATGCGTACTTCACCATATTATTATTAAGGATATTTTGATAATTGTATCACCCATAAGACTTATTGGAATATAATAAAAGAATTTGGAAGCTTCGTTTGACATTGACTAATAGTCAACTTTTTTGTGTTGGGACTTTTTTAGCCTAACTTTTTTTAGCCTCATTTGGTTTGGATTTTTTGGTTTTTTTAACTTTTGTAAGAGAAAAAGTATAATGATTATGAGTTTGACGTGATATTTTGTTTAGCTTATTTAGCATATTTTGTCATTTTGTGTTTTTTTAGCCCCAAAATGATAACCAAACCAGGACAAGTAGAATATAAGTAGGTAAAACAAGATTTATAAATAATTATCCCATAAACTTTTTTCATTCATAAATTATAAATAAAAATTACAACACTCTAAGGTGTTTGATAACTTAATTTAGCACTTAAAACTGAATTGATTAAGTGATAATCAATTAAGTCCGTCTGATAACCATAATTGATATCACTTAAAAATTTAAGTACCTCTTAAAATGTAAGTTAAAATTAACATAACATAAAATAAAATAAGTTATATAAAACTTACTTAATTCTAACTACATTTACAAACACTAAACATAAGTATCAATATACATTATTATAAATTCACTGCCACCACCACCGCTACCACTACTGCCACCACCACCGCTACCACTACTGCCACCACTACTGCCACCACAACCTCCACCATTATGCCACCGCCACTATTACCACCATTACTACCGCTACCACTATTAGCACCACGCCACCTCTACTGCCACCACTATCACTACCACCTACTACAACCACCACCACCATCATGCTACTACTACTACTACCACCATACCACCATCACTACTGCTACCACTATCACCACCACCACGACGCCACCGCCACCACTACCACTGTCGCTGCCGCCACAACTATAATCGCTTTCATCACCATTGTCATTATTTCCATAAATACCGCCCCATCATTTACTATCACTACCATCGCTACCATTCCTACCACCACCACCATCACAATATAAAAATTAAAATATATAATTTAAAAATAATAAATTTTAAACTTGATTTTATATATATTAAATAACTTAAAACAACTTTTCACTTAAAAAATTCAATATTTAATTTTCAGTCATTTTCAATTTTTAACTTTATAAAACAACACCTAATACACACTCTTAAAAAAAAATAAAAAATAAATAAATAAATAAACTAAGTTTGGAATACTTGTAATGCACGAAGCAAGGTGGGGCATTATATATTTACCACAAATGGTAGATAGCTTAGCAGAGAGGCACGTATGCAACAACAAATATGAATGATTAGTGATTGAACTGGAGAACAACTACATAAAACAAAATGATTAAGCTACCAGTTGACTTGATGATACAAGCCTCACTCATTATCTACCAAAAAAAACAAAAAAAAATACTATTTTACTAATCATAAAAATTTATCTTGAATTTCATCTTCAAAGTGAATGTGATGCAGATTTAAAATTCTTACGATTTTGACAACACACAAAGAATATAGACCATTAATTCTTTTTCCTACATAATCTTCTAAATAATTTTTCTTGATTTGTAGCCTTACTTTTTATACTTGTGTCCTTGTATTCTGCCTATCTCTACTGAAATACAAAAATGGAGAGGGTCTAACCCTAATCTTTACCATTGAGGCAACACTTTGGTTAACATTTTGTTGAAAACTTGAAGTCTTCAATTTTTTTATTTATTTGTTTATTTAGATTTGTTTTGAGAAGTAAGAAAAAAGTTAGTTTATTGACTTATTTGTATCATATTATCTCTTTATTTTTTTTTATATATATTTTTTAAAAATAAAAAAAAAATCAATAGACTAATTTTTTTTTTAGTACTTTTCAAAACAGACTGGTGTTCGCGCGTAGGGACGGTTATGGGTGGGGTTTGGGGCGTGGTTATGGTTACATCCAAGTTATAATGGTGGTGAGATGTCAACCCAAAATCAGGAAGTAGTTGGTTATATGTAAACATTATTGTAGGCTATAAGCAACTTTCTCTAATCCAACTAATCATCACCCAATGAGAGTGGGGAAGGGGTCCAATGGGAGAAATTTTTATATGTTATTAGGTATTATGTGATATTACTTTTTATTAATTATAAATGTATAAGCTTCTTATTATTCTCAAATATATAACCTAAATGTAATATATTTTACTGTCAAAATCAATCACAATAATAAAAAGTATGACATGACATATACCGTATCTATATACAAAAATTAATCATCAAAATGGGTATCCCTTATCCACCCAATCCTAGCCACTTTCCACTATTTCCTGTATGTGTGTGTTGAAATTCCCTCGAATTTTGGTCACTTATTAGTGACCTTCACGATCTCACCACCTCTCTCTCTCTCTCTCTCTCTCTCTTCATTCATTACATGACCATTCTTCCTCTGCTTCAACTTCCCCAAACAACCCATCTTTTCTTTTTTCTCTCTTTTTTCTTGGTGTCTTTTATTGTACAGGGGTTATTCTTCATTTACGGCTTTTTGTTTTTCTATCGTTTACTTCTTTCTGGGATTCTTTGACCCCAAGTCTATGCATCTCTCTTTCTCTCTCTCTTCAAATTTCTCACTGTAAAACCTTTTTTTGATTGGGCTTCTTCTCTACATTGGTTTCTTTTCATTTGCTAGATTCCTCCTCCTAGTGTGCATTGTATTTGCCTCTCTGTTCTTTTCCTCTTTGGGTGTTTCTTGTTAGCTCTCTGTTATTCCCTTCTTCATTTGGGTTTATCTTCTCTGTTTTTGGTTGTGCCCTTTCTGTTGAATGGGCTGTTGTTCTTATTGCTGATGTCTTTGGCTGTTGGAGTCGTTTCAAGTTCCAAAACAAGCATGGGTTTTGATGAAAACAAGGGTGATGATAATGGTAAAGAAGACAAATCTACAAAGAGAGAGGGGGGTGGTGATGAAAGAGGAGGAGGAGGAGGAGGAGGAGGAGCAAAGATTGAGAAACAGGTGAGTGGGGTTTCATTATATGATGCAACTGAGGATGATGATGAGGATGAAAGTGATGTTGAAGGGAAGATAGAGTTAGGTCCTCAGTTTACAATTAAGGAACAACTTGAGAAAGATAAGGTTTGTTTGTCTTTCTTTGCATTGGAATTGAGTAGTTGTATATCTTCCTCAGTGTTTTGGTTTTTATTTGAATTGAGTTTGATGTGTGTTTTGTGTTTTTATTTGATATTTGAGAATTTTTAGGATGATGAGAGCTTAAGGAAGTGGAAGGAACAACTTCTTGGGAGTGTGGATGTTAATTCCATTGGAGGTAACAAACCCCACCTTCTTTCTTCTTCTTTTTTCTCTTCAGGAGCTTTGTTTGTTTCTTGGGAAAATGGTGGAAGTAAATTAAAACTTGAATTGACCGCCATGAGATCTGAGTTGGGCTTGCAGGATATATTAGTATCTAAATTGTTCATGTGCTTTATATTTTGTGTATTATGTGCTTTCTTCTTTATGATGAAGTTATTCGGGAAACATTAAAAAAATAAAAAATAAAAATTACATGTCATATTTTCATTATTTCAATTTTATATTGTCAGAGAGTGAGTTTTGACACATTAGTTAGCAATGTTTATTTTTTGGAATATTTTTTTTTTAACCATTGTCAATCCACTCTGAGTTGTGTTTAATTTTACATTAAAAACCTTTTCTTTTCTTTTTTTTATTCTTCTTTTGCTGTCCTTTACTTTCATGTTAGAAATAGTTAAGAAACTCATTTACAAACTGATATTATTTTCCGTTCAAAAAAAAAAACCTGATACTATTTTGAGAGCAAAAAATTTTAATTTTCAACTGAAATTGGGAATCTTGATTGTTGAAACTAAGCGCACAATGATATGATGTTCTCCCTCTCCTCACACAACACGCACTCCCGGGTCATAAAAAAAAAAAAAAAAAAAAAGAAAAGAAAAGAAGAAAAAGGAAAAAAAGAGAAGAGGGAATGAAGTTAACCCTACTTATCCTTATCTATGATATATATAAAAAAAGAAAAAAAAAAAAGAAAAAAAAACTGATCATTACTTGGATTCTTTTCTGTTTCTCATCAATGGAATCATTCACTTTCCAAAAGGAAAAGTCATTACTTTGTTTGGATAAATAAATATAAAAATTGTTATCATTTGGATTTGCTGAGACTTTTGAATTTAAGGAACAATTCATTGCTTCAACTTTATTTTCAACATTATTTCTTCCACTTCCTCTGCTTCTTCTTCTATTTTTTTTTTTAATAATTTTTTTATTCTGTGGTCGTGGCCAATCTTGCTATCTTCTGTATGAATATCAGCTACTTAGAACTATTTTGAGAAGATGGTTATAATCAACTTTTTAGTTAAAAACCGATTAAAAACTGATTATAAGCCGTTTTTTGTGGGAGAGGGAATGGGTTATAATCCCAAAAGACTTAGTAATATGTCTAAATTTCTAAAACTTTGTGAAAGGCAAATTTTCTCATTTCCTCTTCTTTCTTTTCTAGTGTTCCAAATCATTTCAATTAGCAATAGCCACCATTTAAACATGTATCCTGTGAATGACTCTGTTCAATCACACCCTTTTTTTACATGGTAGAAACTCTGGAACCAGACGTAAAGATCTTGAGCCTTGCAATAAAGTCCCCCGGTAGACCTGATATATTTCTTCCGGTCCCCGAAACTGGCAACCCCAAGGGCCTGTGGTTTAGTTTGAAAGAAGGTAGCCGTTACAGCCTCAAGTTCACATTCCAGGTCAACAACAACATTGTCTTAGGCCTCAAATACAAAAACACTGTTTGGAAAACCGGTGTGAAAGGTACTTACTCCTTCACTCCCTCTCTCTTTGAAACAATTCAATGTTGGTTAAAGAAATTGTTTTTTTTTTCCCCTGATTAATGGATTGTTTCCTTTATATGAAAATCCTTTATATTACAGTGGACAGCACAAAGGAAATGCTTGGAACGTTCAGTCCACAGCTAGAACCTTACATGCATGAAATGCCAGAAGAGACGACCCCGTCTGGCTTTTTTGCTAGGGGAACATATTCAGCTAGAACAAAGGTAAATTCAACTTTTTTTCGTGTTTTCAGAAGCAAAAGACAATAAAATGTTCGAAACCTCCCATTGTTTCCATTTTTTAGCCAAAAATAGTTTTTTTTTTTTTTTTTTTTTTTGTCAATTTAGAAAACAATTTATAACTGTTTTCCTAAAGATGGTTGTTTTTGGAATTTTTTTTCCTGAAAATAGTTTTAGGAACAAGTTTGTGAAACATATTTTTAAATTAGTTTCTGTTTTCTATGTTTCCAAGAACAGAAAAGTTAGAAACAAAATCTCTACCAAACACACACAAGCTTCTATCGTATCATTAATTGTGAATTGAAGAAGTTTTATTAGTTGTTTCTTTGCATGTGCTACAACGACTCATCTTGGTTGCAGGGGGACCATTCTCTGCCATTGATATGAGACAATGAAAATATACGAAGACAAGCTATTTATGTCTCTCTCTGTCTCTATTTTCAATTTTGTTAGCTTCTCTAGTTTTGTGTCTAGGACAGTTGTTTGAAAATGTCATGTGAGGAAAGTAAATACATTGGCCACAACGAATTTAATTCAAATTCATTAATTAAATGGTAACATGTGCAGAAAGGAACATACTTACATGTGAAATTCAAATTTGTGGGCCATTCATAGTATCACAAATTTGATCTTATTAATGCTTTTTTTGTTTTTGTTTTTGTTTTTTTACTTTTCAGTTTGTTGATGATGACAACAAGTGCTACTTGGAGATCAATTACACCTTTGATATCCGGAAGGAATGGCAGCAAAACCGAATTTGACACATTTTCACATTTCATTTCATTTCACTCTCTTAACTATTTGTGCCCAATTGTGGTGGATTTTATGTACATGGAGAAGGGGGTCAGAGCAGCAGCAGCAAAATGTTTATTTGTTGGTTGTGCTCCAATAAATTTGAATTTTGCATGTTGAACTTTTCTTCTTTCTTTCTTTCTTTTTTTTTGTTGTTGCTTGTTTATCTTGCTTTTGCGGTTTATGTTCATGTCTGCAAAATCGGATCAAGTGTAAACTCTTCAAAGTTCTATTGTTGTAGTTTGAGGTTGTTAGTTGAAATCTGTTGATTGTATATTAGTATTATTTTTTATTCTTTATTCACTGCAACCTTTACTAAAGTTGCTGAAAGCTGTCTCTTTGGGATGAGTTGCTTTGTTCTCTTCTTTCGTGTTGATTATTCCTTTGAAAATTCACATGGAAATATGGGATTTCAATTCCATCTTATTGGTCTGAAATGGCTTTTGAGTTTGAGCTCATACCATCTAGAGAAGCTAACAAAATAAACATTAGCCACCACCCATATGTTGATGGGTATGTTGATGATTGATAAACAAGATTGGGTATGTTGATGATTATGCTAGATGGTTTCAGTAATGATATCTTGTTTATAATCATCAACATACCCAATCAAATGATCTGATATAATGGGGCGGAGTATGTACAGTGCGGTTCGATGCGATACGATTTGAGCATAAAATTATAACCAAACCGTGATAAATTTGCTATACGTAATCAAAACGCAGTTTGAGCCCTTTCAACCTATTAGTTGATTGAAGAACAGTTATTTTTATAATATATAATATTAATTTGCGTAATATTATATATTTAATACTAAAGTGCCGTTTGGTAACACTTACATTTTTAGTTTTCTATTTATATTTACAAAAATTTAAAAAACTCAAATAAAAACTTGTTTGGTAAATTTTGATTTATAAATTAGTGGTCACAGTTTATAAATTTGGCCAAAAAAATGTAAACTCAAAAAATGAGTTTACATTTTGAGTTTTCAGTTTTTTTTTTTACCACCCAACACTAGCTACCACCCGCCACCATTTTCCACCACCGTCTTCCGCCACCACCACCTGCTACCACCACTCACCACCCACCTGCCACCATCACCCGCCACCACCACCATCCACCCGCCACCACCACCCACCACCCACTATCACCACTTTCCACCACCGTCTTCTGCCGCCACTTGCCACCACTTGCCATTTCTCACTCTTTTTTATATTTTTAAATTTTTTTAAACATTTTGTCAATTACCAAACGCGTTTATAGTTTATATTTTTCTAAAAATAAACAAAAAATAAAAAAAAGTACATGTTACTTATTAATGATAATTTATGAAGATTGTGTTTAGTTGATAAATTTGAGAATAAATTTAAAAAAAGAAAAAGAAAAGGTGAATAAAATGTAGTTATATTCTATTTATATTTTACCTATATTTTTTTTTTCTTTTCCCTTCTAAATCTCTAATCAAATTCATAAATCAAACACAGTTTTCAGTTTTTTTTTTTTTTTACCACCCAACACTAGCCACTACCCGCCACCATTTTCCACCACCGTCTTCCGCCCCCACCACCACCACCCACCACCTACCACCCATCCCCCACCACCACTTGCCACCACCACTTACCACCCACTTGCCACCACCACCTACCCGCCGCCGCCGCCACCACCACCACTACCCACTCGCTACCACCCACCACCCGCCACCGTCACCCACCCACCTGCCACCACCCACCACCACTCGCTACCCACCACCCACCGTCACTACTTTCCACCACCGTCTTCCGTCGCCACTTGCCATCACTTGCCATTTCTCACTCTTTTTTATATTTTTAAATTTTTTTGAACATTTTGTCAATTATCAAACGCGTTTGTAGTTTATGTTTTTTTAAAAATAAACAAAAATCAGTTTATAAATTTTTTGTAAATATAAACTGAAAACTTAAACGTTACCAAACAGACCCTAACTATTTTATATAATATTATATATATATAAAACACCAATTAGCAACAAACTCATGTAACGCACTGAATGAAAATTTCATATTTTTTAAAAATAAAGTAGTATAAATAATTCATCATATTTATTTGAATTCTATAAACCAATTTCTATTGAAAAAAAAAAGGTTCAATAATTTTAACAAATTGTTAAAAGAATGTGAAATCCAACCTCGATTTGGATCCTCTCCATCATTCCCTCCAGCGAGTTGGGCTTTCTCTCAAGTTTGGAATTGATTTCGGTGATTCGAACGTTCACTTTTTAAGACTTGTTGAGTAAAATATTCAAGCAAAAAAATTAAGATAATTGTATATCGGTAACTATAAGTTTCTATCATATTTGTATTATAACAAATGAATGGTCATTCATTTGCAGGTCGTCTGACTTTGATTAAGTCAATAGTAGCCTGTTTACCATCATATTATATTTCTATATTTAAGATGCCTAAGGGTGTAGCGACGACAATTGATAAGTTGTAGGCTATGTTTCTCTGGGGAAGCAGTGAGGTTAAGAGGAAAGTGCATTTGGTGAGATGGCAGGAGCTTATTAAGCCTAAAAAGCAAGGTGGGTTAGGGGTCATAAGTCTAAGTGAAATGAATGTTTGTTTATTACTAAAATGGTGGTGGCGATATGGTGTTGAAGACAAAGCCTTAAGGAGGGCTGTGATCTGTAGTAAATATGGGCAATATGGTGGTGGGTGGTGGCCTGCTATTGGTGAAACAGGTAATTTGTCTCCAATTTGGCAGGGTATTCTAAGTATTGCAAAAGACTATCCTCAGGTGCTTGATTTTTATTTGGAAAATGCAAAGATAAGGGTTGGGAATAGAGCAAGAGTCCACTTCTGGACTGATATTTGGTGGAATAGTTGTAGGCTCAGTGAGAAGTTTTTAAGATTGTTTAGTTTATCTATCGCAAAAGAAGGCTCTTTGATGCAATACACTTTGAGTAGGGATAGGACCGGGGAATGAAACCTGCGGGGAATGGAACTTGGCATTTAGAAGAGGGTTGCGAGCATGAGAAGAAGTGGAGGTTAACAGGCTATGTGAGTGGCTGAGTGCAGTTCCTATAAACAGGGGAACTATGGATGACTGTTTGAGGTGGGAGATTAATCCATCAGGTCAGTTTTCAGTGGCATCAGTTTGGAAATGGATGCAAGTAGATAAGGGACCAAAGCTGCATGTAACAACTGAGTTGTGGCAAAATGTAGCCCCTCCCAAAATTTAATTTTTTCGTTGGTTAGTGTGGAAGGGAAGGGTGAAATCATCAGAATTCCTGTAGAGAATGGGGGTGTTGGGTGCAAATGCTAGCACATTGTGTGTATTCTGTCAAAAGGAATCTAAGAGTGTAAATCACGTTTTATTACACTGTCCATTGATTTGGAGAGTCTGGTCTCGAATTATAAGATGGTGGGATATGTGGTGGGTAATCCCTAGTTCTATTGAGGATTTGTTGCATTGGTGGGCAGGTGCTTCGATTAAGAAAAAAGAGGTGGAGATGTGGAAATTTGTGCCTTTAGTCTTGTTGTGGTCAATTTGGAGGTTGAGGAATGATGTTTTGTTTAATGATGCTCATCCTAATTTTGCTGATTTGGAGGATTTGGTGAAGACAAGGGTAGCGTTTTGGGCTAAGAGTAGGTTACTAGATGTGAATTACACTATGCATGATTTTGTTCATAATCTTCAACAGGTTAGACATTGTTTGAGGTGAAGGGTGCATGAATCTGGTTGCCTATAGTAAAAAATTGCTTTATTGTTGTTGGAAGCTCTTTGGTTGGGAGCTGGTGATGAATTAGAAATTGGGTCATATGGAAGCTGAATTGCTGCTAAGTATGCTGGTGCTAGTTGCTGGTGTGTGATGCTGATTTGAGCTGCTGCTATGAGGCTGCTCCTAGTGGTGCTGTTATGAGGCTGCTCTCCTGGTGTGTGCTGCTGATATGCTGTAATAACCCACATTCATGTCTTAGTCATGTTCATGTGCATGTGCATGATTTCGTCTTGTTAAGCGTGCATTTGTAGACTTAGATTTGTTTTGCCTAGGTAAAAGTCCTTGTTTTGTTTTGTGCTTATGTGACTTGCCTAAGTGTTGTATGCATACTTTGTTCCTTCCTTGTTGTCTCAAGCCTAGGTCATGTTAGGCCTAGATCATGCCAAGCCTAGGTCATGTTAAGCCTAGGTCATGCCAAGCCTAGGCCATGTTAAGCCTAGGTCATGCCAAGCCTAGGTCATGCCAAGCCTAAGTCATCATAAGCCTAGGTCACACCTTTGAACCTCTTATACCTAAGACCATCTTGGAACCACTTTGGTTGACCTCCACCTTCACCCTGGCATATTGGCCGAGATGTCATCATCAAGGCCGAGGTGTGCATCACCTAGGCAAAGAGGTGTATCATCTTGGCCAAGATGTTATCATCTAGGCATCCAACATCTTTGATCCCTACACCTAGCGATCTTGTTCTGGGACTGGTCTGACCTAGATCGAGGTGTGGCACATCTAGGCCGAGGTGTGGTACAGCTAGGTCAAGTGTTATCCTTCATAATCGAGATCATTGAGACCTTACTTGCCGAAGCCTATGTCCTAATCCAAGATCATTACCTGCCAGAGTGCCCATGCCACCTTACTTGTTGTATACACGTTGTCATACTCTTGTCTTGTCATTCTGTCACTTTTTTAAGGATAGCCAACCAGTCGTTGCCACGTGTCCCAGCAGAGGGTTAAGTCAGCCGGCAGAGAGAGAAAACATATCATTTGTCATATCTTTGTCCTAGGAAGAGAGAGAAGCTCTAGGGAAGAGGAAGAAGTTCTTAGAGTGAGAGAGCTAGATTTACAAGCTTGATCTTTACACCTTGAACCGTTAGATCCGTGTTTTGAGGTTAGATTCTTGATCTACTCTTGTTATTCTTTATGTTGATCCGATCACATTGCATGATCTGCATGATTCATGAGCCATGCATTGATTTAAATCTTGTTTTAGAAAGAGAAAATGATGTTCTTGTGTTTTTGAAATAAAACCATGTTTTGATCCGAAAGTTTGTATCAAGATCCACGTTTTTGTGTTTGTTTTCATAAGATTTTCAAGTATGGGTACCCAGGTCCATGTTTTTGAACTCATCTCATGAAATCTCAGATTTTGAATAAAGAAGTTGTGATTTTAGCATTTATGTTCTTCATGTTCATGTTCTTCATGTTCTTCAAGGGAGGAAACCTAGATTTCCAGCCTTCACTATTTCTCTAGGTGTGGTCACCGAGACCACTCTTGTCTAGATCTCACACCTAGGCCAAGCATCGTATCTCACCTTGGC